ATGGCTTCTTTCTCACTCTCTCTCTCTTTTTCTTCTTTTCCCCCTCCCATATGTTAATCTATTTTTTTTTTAAATTCCACATGTGGGTGAGATCATATATTTGTCTTTCTCCGACTAGTTATTTCACTTAGCATAAAACACTGGAGCTCCAGGGACGCCTGGATGGCTCAGTTGGTTAAGCAGCTGCCTTCAACTCAGGTCATGATCCCAGTGTTCTGGGATCGAGTCCCACATCAGGCTCCTTGCTCGGCAGGGAGCCTGCTTCTCCCTCTGCTTCTGCCTGCCTCTCTGTCTGCCTCTCTGCCTGTGCTCACTTGCTCTCTCTCTAACAAATAAATAAATAAAATCTTAGGAAAAAAACAAAAAAACAACAACACTGTAGCTCCATCCATGTCATTGTTGCAAAATGGCAAGATTTCATTTTCTTGATGGCTGAGTAATATTCATATATATATATATATATATGTATATATGTATATATATATATACCACATCTTCTTTATCCATTGATCAGTCAATGGACATTTGGGCTCTCTCCATAATTTGGCTATTGTTGATAATGCTACTCTAAACATCAGGGTGCATATACCCCTTTGAATCTGTATTTTCATATCCTTTGGGTAAATATCTAGTAACACAATTGCTGGATCATAGGGTAGTTATATTTTTAACATTTCAAGGAACCCTCATGTTGTTCTCCAGAATGGCTGGACCAGTTTGCATTCCTACCAATAGTGCAAGAGTGTTCCCCTTTCTCTGCAACCTTGCTAACACCTATTATTTCTTGTGTTGCTAATTTGAGCCAACCTGACAAGTGTTAAGATGGTATCTCATCGTGGTTTTGATTTGTATTTCCCTGATATGAGTGATGTTGAGCATCATCTCATGTGTCTGTTAGCCATCTAGATGTCATTTGTCATTGTCATGGAAAAGTGCCTATTCATGTCTTTTGCTCATTTCTTAACCGGATTATTTATTTTTGGGGTGTTGAGTTTGATAAGTTCTTGGTAGATTTTGGATACTAACCCTTTATCAGTTAAGCCATTTGCAAATATCTTCTCCCATTCTGTAGGCTGCCTTTTAGTTTTGTTGATTGTTTCCTTCACTGTGCAGAAGCTTTTTATCTTGATGAAGTCCCAATAGGTCATTTTTGCTTTTGTTTCCCTTGCCTGAGGTGACATATCTAGTAAGAAGATGCTATGGATGACGTTCAAAGAGGTTTCTAGGATTTTGATGTTTTCCGTCTCACATTTGGATCTTTAATCCATTTTGAATTTATTTTTGTGCATGGTTTAAGAAAATGGTCCAATGTCATTCTGCATGTTGCTGTACAGTTTTCTAACACTACTTGTTGAAAGACTTTTTTTTCCATTGGATATTCTTTCCTGCTTTGTCAAAGATTAGTTAACCATATAGTTGTGGGCCCATTTTTGGGTAGTCTATTCTATTCCATTGATCTATGTGTCTCTTTTTGTGCTAGTACCATTCTGTCTTAATGACTACAGCTTTGTAATATAGCTTGAAATCCAGAATCACAATGCCTCCAGTTTTGTTTTTCTTTTTTAGAATTGCTTGGCTATTTGGGGTCTTTTGTGGTTCCATACAAATTTTAGGATTGCTTGTTCTATCTGTGTGAAAAACGCTGGTCTTCTTTTGATGGGGATTGTATTAAATGTGTAGATTGCTTTGGGTAGCACAGACATTTTATCAATGTTTGTTCTTCCAATCCATGAGCACGGAACATTTTTCCATTTCTTTGTGTCCTCTTCAATTTCTTTAATAAGCGTTCTATAGTTTTCAGAGTGCAGATCTTTTATTCCTTTAGTTAGATTTATTCCTAGGTATCTTATTGTTTTGATGCAATTGCAAATTAGATCAATTCCTTGATTTCTTTTTCTGCTGCTTCATAACAGTTATACAGAAATGAAACAGATTTCTATGCATTGATTTTATATCCCACAACTTTGCTGAATTCATGTATGAGTTCTAGCAATTTTTGGTGGAGTCTTTCAGGTTTTCTGCATAGAGTATTATGTCATCTACAAATAGTGAAAGTTTGATTTCCCTTGCCAATGCAGCAAGGGAGGAAGTGTCCTTAACCTACAAGGAAAGACAGATCAGGTTCACAGCAGATTTGTTCACAAAGACTTGGCAGGCCAGAAAGGAGTGGAAGGAAATACATTCAAGATGATGAATGGGAAAAATATGCAGTCATGAATTCTTTATCCAGCAAGGCTATCACTGAAAATAGTAGGAGAGATAGAGTTTCCCAGACAAATAAAAACTAAAGGAGTTCATGACCACCAAACCAGCCCTCAAGAAATTTTAAGGGGGACTTTGAGTGGAGAAAAAAAGACCAAATGCAACAAAGACTAGAAAGGACAAGAAAACATCACTAGAAACACCAACGCTATAGATAACACAACGGCACTAAATTCATGTCTCTCAGAAATAATTCTGAATGTAAATGGACTTAATGCACCAATCAAAAGATATAGGGTATTAGAATGGATTAAAAAAAAGAAGATCCTTCTATATGCTGCCTACAAGAGGCTCATTTTAGACCTAGTCTCCATGTTTCTAATGAAAATTCTGTCTTGCAGGTCATTGTTCCCTTATGGTAATGAATCTGGGTGCCTTTAGGATTTATATTATGTCCTTTGTATTCAGCATTTTAACATGCATTTCTTTGGGTTTACCCTGCCTGGAGTTGGCTCAGTTCCTTGAATCTATAGATTTATGTATTTCAGTTTAAGATGTTCCATTTGCAGTAATAACAAAGATCAAATACAAAGGAATAAATGAAATAAATATGTGAAGCCTATAGAAGGTAAATGTTAAAACGCTCATGAAAGACAGAAAAGTGGTTTTCAAAAAAGGTAAAGACAATTCTCTTTTCTTAGATGGAGTCAACATTCTTAAGATGCAGTTTTCTCTAAAGTGATTTATAAATTCATGAAATTTCAATAAAGACACCGAAAAGGTATTTTATGGAGCTAGAAAAATCTAATACTAACATTCATATAAAAAAATAAACATACAGAAATAACCAGGAACACACAGAAAGAAAAATTTAGGAGTCTAGCTGTAACAATCTTTAAAATACACCATTAAAAGTTACATAATTTAAAATGTATTATCATATGCATAGAAAAATACAACACTGGCAATAAATATATAAATATAAATATAAAACCATAAATATAAAATATAAAACCATAAATAGATCTCAAATATACTTATTCAGGATATGATAAAGGAGGCATCTCAAATCATTAGGAAAAGCATAGGCTTTTTAATAAATGATGATGGTATAACTGGGTAGTCATTTGGATAAAAATAAAATTAGATCCACATCTCACATGATAACAAGAGTAAACTGCAAACGGATTAAGGACCTAAACATTAAAAAGGAAACCATACAAGTCCCAGAAGGCAACATGGGTGAATTCCTCTTTAAATTCGGTATAAAGTAAGTCTTTCTAACTATGTTTCAAAATTCTAAGACAATAAAAGGTTGATATATTTGGCTTTGTTGAAATTAAAATATTTGTATGCCTAAAAAAATCATAAAAACAAAGTCAAGAGATAACACACACACTGAAAGAATATATTTGTATCATATACTACATGGATTGATATCTCTAATATATATGGGACATAGGATCAAAACCCTAATGGACAAATGGGAAAAGGACATGACAGTGTAACTAATGGCCAACATTATAACAACTTAAGCAATACAAATAAATAATGATATAACAGCTGAATGATTTTAAGGTTAAATTTAAATATACATTAGTCCATACAAATATATATTAAAAACTGAATAAATAAATGGTGATAAAGGATAGATACTCCTTTAAGAATAATTGCAATTAAAAAATATAAAAAGGAAAGCAGGAAATAGAAAACCACTATTAGGCAAATACCAACAGTCATAACGGTCTCAGACAAGATGCACTGACAAATGGTAAAATAAATAGGCAAAAAGTTTTAGAGAAGGAAAATATTTGCAGAGTCACAAAATACCTCCCCCGCAAAAACATACCTCCCCCAAGTTATGTATTACAAAATGAAGAAACTTGTAATTTCATTATAGTGAAAAAATTCAGCATATATTCAACCTTAAACAATTTATCAAGGTTAAAATCATAAATAAAACATCAAGAACATGACCATGTTGATGTGACACACCAAAAAGGACCCATCACTTCCATGGTGTTCTTGGCAAAAATGTAGAGCCACGTTCTAATCATAAGAAAACATCAGACTGAAAGAAGAAGAACGTCTTATAAAACAACTCTCTGGCATGTTTAAAAAGGTGTAAAGGCCATAAAACAAGGAAAGATGGAGGAATTATCCTAGGAAAGGGCTGACTACAAAGACAAGGTAGCTAACTACATGTGTTACCCCAGACTGGATCCTGAGACAGGAAAGGAATATTAAAAAGAAAACTGATGGAAACTGAATAAGGTCGGTAATTTCTTTAAAAATATTATACCAACATTGTTTCCTGTTTTTGATAATTGTACTGTGGTTACAGTTAAGATGTTAACAGAGGAAGATGAAAGGTATCTGAGAATTCTATGTACTATTTGTGCAGCCCTTTTATAAGTCTAAAGTGCAATACAGGAAAGTTTTGAAAGCATTTTACAAAAACCGTCCTAATAGAGACAGAAAGCAATTCAGTGTTACCAGAGGGTCAGGGAAGCAGGGAAAGGACTAACTACCCAGGGGCACAAGAGAACTGTTTTGGATGTTGAAAATATTCTATATCACAATTGTGTTCATAGTCACAGGACAGTATTCAGTTGCCAAAACTCACTGAATTACGTACTTAGAGTGGTTAAATTTTGTTTTATGTAAATTACACCTCAATCCAGCAGACAAAATAAAAAATTTCATATATAAATACAATCTTTAAAAACACGTGTTGGGTTGCAATTGCAATATAAGCGGAATGGAGAAACATCAAGTAAGATTATACATGCTCTTACCAGATTAATTAACTGCGTGTGTACCACATCTTCTACCAAAAGTGCCGTTTCATGAAGAGGCCTCCTAGCATCACCTAAAGAAAACCTGTCCAAAAAAAAAAAAAATTAAGCATACCAATATTAAAGACTGTAAAACTAAGAAAGGCAAAAAGTGAAAGATATTGATTATCATAATCTGTTAATAAAGTACAAATTTTTCTCTCAAATAACAGAGTGGATGTACAATTCTCTATGGACAAAGAATTACATCTCTCCCAAACAAGCTACAACTTCCAAAGAGAATACAGTGTTAGCTATGCTATTTCTTGATCTCTGTAGTCATTTTTAAGGGCACTTACTCTTTCAAACGAAAAATATTAACAACTACTTCATAATATTGGCCACTAGAAAACCATGTTACTGTATCTAAAGTACTAATAAAGTAACATACTAATAGCCATTTTGAAAATTAAAAAAGCATGCAATGTAATTAAAATGAAAAGCTTCTTAGGAAAATGTATATAAATGCCATAATTTATCATTTCTAATTATATACAAGCAGATTGTCAAGAATGGATTATTGATCTTAAAAGTACTTTTCTCAAGTTTCATATGGTAGACCAGATGTGCAGAGAATCCCTTCCTGGTAAATGACATTTGAAAATGCACAATACTATATTAACAAATTAGTTTGCTTTAATCAGTTTGCTTTAACCAGCAGTGTCGGAGATAAAACAGAAGGCTGATAAGATGAGAAAATCAGTTTCCCTGGATACGAGAGCCCTGGAGCCAAAATTTATTCTGAAGGCATCTAATTATTCATAGTAGTCAATAATCTGGATTTCATCAAGTGTTGTATTCAAGATATAGCAAAGAATGCTGGGACCACAAGCAAGGCAGAAAATCAGTTTGAGGACCCAAATGCACAGTGATATCTGATATGTGTGAAAGCACTTTGCCTATCTTGCCTGAGGCTACTGGTGAAAAAACAAAAAATGTAATGCTGGTCTGAGGACAGACAAATGGAACAGAATAGAGAGCACAGAAATAAAAATTTACATTATGTACAACTGATTTTTGATAAGGGAACAACCAAGTTGTATGAGATAGTCTTTTCAACAACTGATGCACGGAAACAAGATATCCACATGCAAAAGAATGAAGCTGGATTCTAACCTTGTACCATATATGAAAATAAACTCAAAACAGATCAAAGACCTAAATTAAAAAGCTAAAACTATAAAACTCTTAAAATAAAACTGGGAAATCTTCATGACCTTGGATTTGGCAAAGGTTTCTTAACTATGACACCAAAATAACAGGCAACAAAAGAAAAAATAAATAAATTGGAATTCATCAAAATTACAAACCTTTCATACATCAAAGGACAAGACGGTGAAAAGACAACCCACAGAATAGGAAAATATTTGAAAATCATAGATGAATAACCAGAATATATTTATAAAACTCTTATAACACAACAATAAAGAAAAAAATCCCAATTTTAAAATGGGTTATAGAATTGAACAGATACGTCTCCAATGAAAATATACAAATAGCCAACGCAAATGAAAAGATCCTCATATAATCAGTCATTAGAGAAATGCAAATCAAAACCACATTGAGTTGCTACTTCAAACCCAGAAGAATGGCTATTACCAACAAAATGGAAAATACTAGCTAGGATACAGAGAAACTGGAAACACTGTACATTGCTGAAGAAAATGCAAAATGGTACAGCCACAGTGGAAAATAGTTGGGTGGTTCTGGAAAATGGTAAACACAGAATGAGTTTTTGACCTAGCAATTCCACTCCTGAGTATATACCTCCAAATAAAAATTGGAAACAAGGATTCAAACAGGTATGTGTACGCCAATGATCATAGTAGCTACATTATTCAGAATTGTCAAAAGGTAGAAATAACCAAAATCTCCATTAACCAATGAACAAACAAAATATATACATACAATGGAGTATTATTAGGCAATAAAAAGGAAAGAGGTTCTGATACATATTCCTGCATGAATGAACTTTAAAAACAGTATGCTAACTAAAATAAGCCAGACAAAAGTGACGGCTGTTGTATGCTGCGACTTATATGACTTATCTGGAATAAGAAAATTCATAGAGATAGAAAGGAGAGTAGAGGAACACAAAGAGATTGGAGAGTTTCTGCTTAATGTGTAGAGAGTTTGCCTGGGATGAAAGAACTTCTAAATAATAAACAGTGATGATGACAGCACATTTTGAATGTATTTAATATCAGAGAACTATATAGTTAAAAATAAGTAAAGAGGTAAATTTTAAGTTATGTATGTTTTACCACAGTAATTAATATGGATGAAAAAAATTAACCAGACTAGATTCAGCTATAAAGATAATTAGGGTTCAGAACAGCATATTTTAGGAAATTACCCATAACACATCGTGGATAATAACAAAATACCATGATCAATGTTGTGCCAAATATGATGATACTGTGGTGAAATGGATAAATTTCTAAAAGAAAAATACAAATGGTCAAAGCTGACTCAAGAAGAAATAAAAAACCTGAATAGTTTTATAAATTTTAAAGAAATTAAATCAGTAGTAACAAATCAAAACCCAAACAAAACCAAAGCAAACAAAAACAAACCACCTTACCTCATCTGTAATTTTGTACCCAACATGCAAAGAATAGATTATTCTAATTTGATACAACTTTTAAAAAGAACACAAAAAGACAGATACTCCCTAATTCATATATTTAGGCTAGTATAACCTGGGTTTCAAAAGTAAAAAAGGCAGAAAAGAAAGTAAAATTGCATATATATTTTACTCATGAACATAACAGAAAAAAATCATAATTAAAGGGCTTGAATAAAACAAAAGGTAGAATGAGGGAGAATTCACTTTCCCTCCTACCCTGCACTTATGACCTCTTGGGAGCTCTTCATGATCAATTAACAGAAAAAGAGAAGACTCAGGCCCTGGTTTACATACCATCCTGCATGATATGCAGGCACCATCCAAAAGTTAACAGCCTGGAGCACTGCAGTCCCCTTCTGGAACATCACTTAAATATAGCGGCGAAGGGAAATTCTCCCAATGGGAAGAACTCCCAATGGGAAAAATAGAACCCTGTCATCATTCAATGGGGCTCATGAACAAAGTGGTCATGGTGGGAGGGATGGAGGATATGCAGTGCCTAGTAACATGGACTTCCACTAATCAATGCGATCATTGTTATAGTCCCTGCTGAGTGCCCATCCGTCAGCAGCAAAGATCAACACTGAGTTTCTGAACTGGCTCCATTCCCCAGGGTGATCAGCCATCTTCCTTGCAATAAGGTGATTACATTAAGACCACTCCCATCCTGAAAATGAAAGGGTATGATTCTTACTAGAATAGACATTTACTCTGGATATGGATTTGTTGTCCCCACATGCAATGCCACTGCCAAAACTACCATCTGTGGACTTACAAAATGCCTATCTGGTGTCATGGTACTCCATACAGCAATGTTTGTGATCAAAAAACACTTTTCAGCAAAGGATGTGGTGTACTGGGTCAATGCTTAAAGAATTCACGAGCACTAGTCTTAACATGTTCCCCACCATTATGAAGGAGCTGGTTTGACAGAATGGTGGGAATGGCTTTTGAAAATCCAGTTACAATGCCAACTAGGTGGAAATACCTTGTAGAACTGGGACAAGGTTTTCCAGAACAATTACACATCCTGTGAATCAACATCCAATATATGGTGCTGTTTCTCCCACAAATAGGATTTCCAGAAATCAAGGAGTAGAACAGTAGTGGCAGCATACATTATTACCTATAAAGACCACCAGCAAAATTTTTGTTTCCAGTTCCCATGACCTTACGATTTGCTGGCCTTGAAGTCTTTTCCAGAGGGAGGAATCCTTTCACATTTATTCCATTGACACAACAATTATTCCATTGAAATGAAACTTTAAGACTATAGCTCAGTCAGTTTGGATTCTTCATGCTTCTGAGTCAACAAGCAAAGAGGGAGTTACTGTGCTAGCTGGGATGAGTGATGTTGACTACCAAGTGGAGACTGGACTGGTTCGCCACAGTGGAGGTAAGGAAGAGTATGTCTGGAATACAGGAGATCTCTGAGGCTACGTCTTAGTATTACCATGCCCTGTTATTAAAACCAATGGAAAATTACAACAACCCAAACCAGGAAAGGCTATTAATGACCCAGATCCTTCAAAAATGAAGGTTTGGGTCATTCCACCAGATGAGAAGCCACAACCGGCTGAGGTGCTTGCCGAAGGCAAAGAAAATACAGAATGGGTAGTAGAAAAGGGTAGTTACTTATACCACCTAGTCACATTACAAGTAATAAAAACAAGGACTGCAATCATTATTTCCTCATTTTGTTATAAAAACGTACGTGTGTGTGTGTGTGTGTGTGTGTGTGTGTGTGTGTGTGAGAGACTACTGGGCAAATATTATTGTTTCCTTCCCTTCCTTTTTCCCTTATCATGTAACATAAAATGTAATGGATAAATAACATAATATTTAAATATTATTAATTTTACATCATAGTAAATGTAAATACTTAAATTTAAGTTTAAATTTAAGAATTATCCTCATCTTCTGGGAAATGTGTTAACATATTTTCAGTTGTACAGTGGATAACTGTATCAAGTTTGGCAAAATTATGACCTTGTTATTGTCTTTATTTGGAGATCAAGAATAGTTTAAGGAGATGTATATGGGTGTCAAGGTGACATGGGGTAATGTTTAATTTTATATCTTAACCTGATTGGGCTAAGAGTACCTAAATATTTGGTTAAACATTTATCTGGACATGTCTGTGAAAGTATTTCTGAAGGAGATTAGTTGCTTGAGGCAAACTGCCCCCTCCAACATGGGTGGGCTTCATCCAATCTGTTGAAGGCCTGAAAAGAACAAAAGGCAGAGTAAGGGAGAAACACTCCCTCTGCCTATCTTCAAATTGGACCATCAGTCTTCCACTGTCTTTGAACTCAGACTGGGACTTACACCATCAGCTCTTTGCTTCTCAGGTTTTCATACTCTTTACTCCTCTGCTCCATTTTGGTTTTTGAATTTCACAATGTACATCTTTTTAC